AATACTGAATATTATGATCCTGTCCAGGAGGGCACAGGGCCCTCATAGTGTCTACAGGATGTTAATGGCTGGAACCCTGAGAACAAGGGCGAACATGGTACAGAGCATGTTCAACATGGAACAGACCATGTTCAACATGGAGAACAACAAGGGAGAACATGGCAGCAGAAGTCAAAGTCCACTTGTGCAGGAATTCGGGGCCAGGTTGTCCTAAGGGCCACAGGAAGTCACAGAAAATGTTGTTCAGGCTGCAGTACTAAGAGCAGTCAGGGAGATTGGGCCAGACCAGAGCAGACCTGGGTGGTGACGGTGGTTCAGGTGAGTAATGCACTTGACCTTGGGTGGGAACATAGGGACAGACTTTCAGAGAGGTGAATGGGTTTGAAAGATATTTAGAGGAAACAACTACAAGCCTTGGTGATAGATTAGATAAGGAGGTGGGGGGGAGGAGATTTCCAGGAAGACGCCTACATTTCTGGCTTATACAACTTGATATTCCCAGAATAGGAAACCAATGAAAGAAGATCAGAACTGCAGAAGAGAAAGATTATGCATTTGGTTTGGGACCTGTTAAGTTTGAGTTGCCCTTAAGACATTCAAGCACAGATGTCAAATACGTAGTTTGATTCATGAATCTGGAGTGCAGTAAAAAAGTCTTAGTTAGAGACATAAATCTGTGACTCATCTGCATACAGAGGTTAGCAGAAGAACAGCTATGTTTAAGACACAGTTGAGAGACAACCAAGAGTCCAAGGTTGCTGACAAGATAAGAAAGATGGAGTTCAAAGCACAGAAGCAGGGCTGGGCTTAGTTGTGGGAAAGGACAGCCCTGGAGTAGCAGAGAATAAGTGGACCACAAACACATACTAAAACTCTAGGTATTTTTTGACTTGTTGAATCTGAAGATTTTGTGGAACTAGAAAATGTAGGCATGGAAATACTGGGTTCATCTGTATTAGGGCTTTCACAGGCAAATGCATCAACAGCATAGAAAATGAGAGAAATTAAGTATTTAGCAAGAGTGATAGATTCTAAACTGCTTATGAAGGGAAACTGGCTGGGTGAGTGGTTCATGCCTATAATCCTAGCACTTTGGGAGGCCAAGGCAGGAGGATTGCTTAAGCCCAAAAGTTCAAGACCATATAGTGAGATCTAGACTCTACCAAAAAATTCAAAAATTAGCCAGGCATGGTGGCATGCACTTGTAGTCCCACCTACCTGGGATGCTGAGCGGGGAGGATTGCCTGAGCCCAGAAGGTCAAGGCTAGGTGAACTGAGATCACACCACTGCACTCCAACCTGGGTGACAGAGTGAGACCCCTGACTCAGAAAACAAACAAACAAGAAAAATGAAATGGAAGGGTTAATACACTGTTAGAAAGTAGCAGGGCCAGTAGATGAGACATTGCAATGAAGTCAAAGTACAACCATGGAGGAGGGCCATAAATCAGCAAGCTAGAAGGAAAGGAGGTATAGCGGATGTAGTGATTTCACTTGGACAAGGTCCAAGTTGTGACCATAAGAGTTGCTGGCTGACTGGAGAAAGAAGAAAGTCTCTGGAGATAAGCTAATTGAGGGTCCAAGAGCCATGAAGCTGGACAGGTTCTTCATGCTGATACTAAAAGCCCTGGGAGGCTATAAGGGGTTTGTAATGGGTATAAAGGCTGCAAGTCAAGTGCCAAGTGCTTAGTGAATGAGGAGCAGTGACCTTGACCACAGTTAGTAAGAGAAGAAGATGGGAGATGAAGAGCATCACCTTCAGAAGAGCATGTGTTTGTTGTTTTTGTTGTTGTGGCTTTCTCAAACAACCAGCTTGAGGAGCAATGATCTAGAAGCAAAACTATGTTCCAGGGTGACAACAATCTCTCTGTCTATCTTTGGAATACACAAGATGTGAGGAAATAATAATGCCACTGATTGAGAGGGCTACGAGAGGTGTGGTCCTCAGGGGAGGGCAGATTTCAGTGAAGTTGAAGATGAACAGAGCTTTTGAGGATGAGGCAGATGACACAGCAGAGCATATGGTTGTATTGCAACAGTTCCACATGGCACAGTGGGATAACTGAGAGGTGGGGAAGGGAGGGCTCTGGGTTGATCTCAAAGAAAGAGACATTATGATAGAAATGATTGCACTATGGAAGACAGATGGTGGGATGGGAATGGATTAATAAAAACAGGGATGGCGACTTAAAGTAAAAAAAAACATTTTAAGAATCCACACTTATCCTAACAGTAAGAAATAAATAACTTGGCTGAGGTGGTGACAGACAGATAACAGTCTCCATGTGCTATATTAGCTGGACACCGGTTGAGAGCAATGCTTCTCAGTCTTAGTTCTATTAACATTCTCAGCTAGATGTCTTTTTTTTTTTTTGCTGTGGGGGGCTGACCCTGCCCTGTACACTGTAAGATGTTTAGCAGAATTCTTGGTTACCATGGTTGTACTTTGACTTCATTGCAATGTCTCATCTACTGGCCCTGCTACTTTCTAACAGTGTATTCTTGATTACTACCCACTGGAGGCCAACTGGACCCACACTCCTGGTGACAATCAATAATGTTGCCATGCACTGCACAAAATCATTGGTGGCAAAATCATTGCCCGTTGACAATCACTGATGGAAAGTAACAGACTCACATGGGGAGTGCAGAGGTGTTAGACCTGCTGTGGCAATGTCACTATTTCTGAACATTTTTGGAACTAGTCATCTCTGCTCCAGAGTCAGGGAAGGAAGCTAATATCATTATTTAACAGACATACCCAATTCTTAATTTAAAAAATATATACTCCCCAGTTTATCATCCCTCTTATTCTTTGCTCTGAAGATCTCTTGACTGTTCCCTTAGAGGATGAGGTAGCTTTGCCTCCAATGAGAATATTCAGTACTTCTCATTGGCTGTTCCTCAGTTTCTGGAAAGTACCAAACTCCTTCCTGCCTCAGGGTATTTCTCCCTTCAGGTCTCAGGTTATAGAGCACTTTGTTAGGAAGGTATTGCCTTACTCTATCTATCCTGTACTTTTTTTTTCAGATATGTTTTTCACAATTATATTTGCTTAATATCTGTTTCCTCCATAGGATATACATTGTAAGAGGGCAGGAACCTTATCTGTTTATTCACAGATGGATCCTCTGTACCAAGCTCAATAAATATTCTAAAAATGAATTATTAAAAGGAAATATCAGGCCAGGCATAGTTGCTCATGCTTGTAATTCCAGCACTTTGGGAGGCTGAGGCAGGAGGACTACTTGGACCTAGAAATTCGAGACCAGACTGGACAACATAATGAGACCTCACCTCTACAAAAAAATCTAAAAATTAGCCAGTTGTGGTGGTACCTGCCTATAGTCCCAGCTACTCAGGAGGTTGAGGCAGAAAGACAGCCTGAGCCCAGAAGTTCAAGGCTGTAGTGAGCTGTGATTGTGCCACTGTACTCCAGCCTGGGTAACAGAGTGAGACTCCTACCCAAAAAGAAAAAAGAAAAGAAAAAGAAAGCATGAACATTTTTAGAATAAGCATGGCACTCCCCAAAAAAGTTTCTTGAGAAGGAACTGTGCATGTGTATGTGTGTATGTGTGTGTGAGTGTGTGTGTGAGTGTGTGTGTGTGTGTGTGTGTGTGTGTCTGTGTGTATAGTTTTCTGATTCTTTTTCAAAATCCATATGCCTTTATAGTAGTAGTATACCTTTTGTTTAGTGACGTTAGCATCCTAAATAAGAAAAAGATAAAAAAAGTAGTATCATTCAAAGAATCATGAAACTTATCTAGGTTTGACCAGTAACTAGGTCACAGCAGTTAATATTTATGCCACCATACTAAATTCTAAAAAGTTCTGACTAGTTTGTTGATTCCTTCAAAGATATGTTGAGTCCCTGAAACCATCATCATAAAAACGCCTCAGTTAATCTAATAAAAGACCACAAGATTAGAATTTTAATAGGGACCTGAATTCTGTTATAACCTGACTTGGGGGGGTGGTGTATAGGGGGAATAAGGGGAAGAGCTGCCTATAAGGTTGATAAGCTTATTATCTCTTTTTTTTTTTTTTTGAGTTGGAGTCTCACTATGTCACCTAGACTGGAGTGTAGTGCTGCTCCCAGTCACCGCAGCATCGCCCTGCTGTGCTCCGGTGATCCTTCCGCCTTAGCCTTCCAAGTAGCTGGAACTATAGGCACACACTACCATGCCTGGCTAATTTTTTTTCTTTTATTTATTGTAGAGATGAGGTCTCACCAAGTTGCCCAGGTGGGTCTCGAACCCGCGGGCTCAAGCAATCCACTCACCTCAGCCTCCCAAAGCGTGGAATTACAGGCTGAGCCACCAAGATCGGCTGCTTATTATCTCTTAAAGAACAATAAGCCTTTAGGTCACGCAGACCTCCTTGATGATATCCAGAAGTTTCATCAGCTGAAGGGTGTGAGCAGCCTTGATTAACTTCCCACATGCCTTTCATTGTTCACAAGATCTGTAACATCCCCACTTGCTCCTATAGATAACATAAGCTTAAGATGGGTTTTGGAGGTATTTTTCAGACTTTGGTTTGGTAGTCGGTTCTAGTGTACCATAAACCCCACATGTGCCTATGACCAACACCAAGGCACTGACTCTACTGGTCCTGCTATCCCACCCACTCCGAAACTGGCTCTGCACACAAAGACAGTTTCAACATCCCCATGACTATCCTCAGCCAGTCAGCAGTACCCATTCCCTAGCCCCCTGCCCGCCAAATTATTCCTTTAAAAACTCTAGCCTAAGACTCTCAGAAAAGCAGATTTGAAAAATATCTCCTATCCTCTTTGCTCAGTTACCTTGTGACTATTACACTCTTTCTCTATTGTAACACAGCCGTCTCAGTATATTGGCTCTTTTCTATGTAGTAGTCACAGTCAGGCTGTAACAGTCAGGCTGTAACACTCCTGCTCTGTTCTTGGACCTGGAAAGTGCAATGCACCTACTTCAGGGCTCTCTATACCAGGCAGAGACATATCCTACAGGGCATACCTGAGGCAGCGTTCAGACGGCATTCTCCAGCTGGGTTCCTCAGGGTCTCAGCCTTAGAAGTTTGCAGAGGAATCAGTGAGCATTCCAGCTGAATAAAAAGACAAGAGACAGGAGCAACATGAGCTAAATGCAAGAAAGCACACTCTGAGTCTTCAAGATGCTAAAGCTTAAGAATCCCAAGAAGGCAGCTTGGAAAGTTTTACTGTTGACACAGAACATTCTGACACAATGCTCTTTTAACAAGCAATGGTTCTGGATGTTTTAAAACTTTTCACATTATTGGAGCTTCCAGGACTAGGAAGTAAAATATGTTTGAGAATAAACAATAGCTAACTAAATGTTGAAGTAAAAATTAAAACATCGGACGGCAAAAGGGAAAAATTAAGATTTGATAATCAAATAAAGCTACAATGATCTAAACCACAAATAGTACTTGACTTATCCTTTAGAACATTTTTACTTTCTTTCCAAACATGATTCGGGATTAAGGTAAAGACAAATACCTCTTGGCTAAGTGTCTATAGAAATATGATTTTCTATTCAAGAAGAAGATTTCTGAAAACTAGGTGGAAAAAAAAATGACATGTAGAGAGGATAAAAATTTGTAGAAAATGAAAAATGAATTCTTAGAGGAGCTTCAGGATTAGCATGATTGAAATATAGACTAGGATGCAGTTGTCAGGCTCGAAATTGCTCCTTACTCACATCGTCCCCACCCACTCCCTTACCTTTGTTTTTAATCATCAATGTAACTCTAAACAGAAAAATAAATTATTTGAATAGACTGGGACCTGGTCCATGACTGTCTTCACAGCTCTCATTAGAGGGGCTAGTTGCCATTTTCTAATACACCCAGTGGCAAAATGAATTACAATCTGGATAAGCTAAATAGGCTTCCTTCTGTCTCAATTTTATTTTGAAAAATGATAACAGGATGAAAACGTTAATGAAAGGAATATGCTAAGCTGTGCCTATTTTTGCTGATTTGTATAAAAGAGAAAGCTATGATTTGCAATCTGACTAAAATATAGTATTGGTTTTTGTTATATTACATATGAACCCTCAATTGATACAACTGCATAATGCTTCATGCAGTACATCATACTTTGGTTAAGCATTCCATTTTATTGAACATTAAGTTGTTTAGAACATTTTCCAAACAATTTGTTTTGCTTTCTTATTTTCTTATTTTAGTTATTAAAAATAGGATGTCTATGCTCTCATTTATTTCTAATTTGAGTTTTGACAAGTCAAACAGTGAACATCATTTTTAATTGATCCATTATAACTGAACACCACGGGCAGTCAGAATAATCCAAGGCACGTTGTTTAATTAGCTAAGAGATTTGCTTAGCAACCTAAATGTTTGCCACAGTTTCCTTTCAGAATCTGGGTTATAAACTCCAGTCTTTTATAGCCCTAACACAAATTCAAACAGGCATGGACACTTCAGTTTTCAGCTCACAAAGAATATTTATTACCACAGGGAGGTAAAAAACAATCCTTCCGAAAGTCCAGTGTTTTCAAAATATTCCCAACTATCAGGCAAATGAAGAACAAAGATCCTAAAAGCTAAAATATCCAAAATTAAATGGTCACCTAACTTGGTATTTTCAGACATTTCAAGATGATCATAAAAATCATAAGATAAATGAAACTCCCTTCTACATACCTATTGCTTAGAGACCAACTCCATTGAATTAGCTCTCTCCTGAAAGTAGAGAATTATGGTCTGCTATATCCTACAAAGTTTAGTGAAATGGGCACCGTTTTAAAGTTGAATTAAAATGATTTAAGGATGAATCACCACTGTAAAAAGTTTCTTATTACTTACTATTTTTATTCCATATCATTGACCATATATATGCTTGCATTGGATTCAAATGTGTTGACAAATGCATTTGTTTTCACAGTAGGCACAGTGTAAAGCATGGCTACCTGGAAGCTCCACCCAGACAAACCTCTGCTCCCTCCCCCACCTCCTTACACTTGTTTCCATCCCTGGGACATGGGTTACTTTCTAACACAAGGGTCTCAACTCTTTCCATGAGCTCAGGGATATAAAGGCTAGTCTCCTGTTGTTCCCCTCATCAGAATCCAGAAATGACTCCAAGCAGGGCCAGCTTGGTGGAGCTTGGATGAGGCTTCAGTGAACTGTGTCTATGCCACGGCACTCCAGCCTGGGTGACAAAATCCTTGACTCGTTAGAAAAAAAAAGAAAGAAAAAAAGAAAAGGAAAACTTTCCTTTCCCATCCAGAAGTCCTAAAGCCCTTTTCCTTTGATTAGCCTGCGATGGTATATAAGGCCAAGTTCTAACGACACCTTTGGGTTACTCATTACTGGGTGCTCCCATGTGTATGTGTGGTGTACATATCAATAAACTTCTATTTGTTTTTCTTCTCTTAATCAGTCTTTGCTAGTCCAATTTTTAGGAGCCCATCAGGGCAAAATAATTTTCCCCTTCTCCCCACAGCAGATATCATGCTTTCCATAGAATAGTGTAAAGTTCAGTTGTGGTATTTCTCAAAGTATGCAATGACCTTCGAAAGACTAAAAACACAAATTTCAGCCTTTCTGCTTAAAAATGTAACCACACAAATCCAGCTTGCAAGCAAAAATAAAGTAGATATTTTACAAAATGGAGCTATGTTCATACCTCAATATAACATCATTGTAGCTGGTCTACGCTAGGCGAGTTACTTAACGCTTCCAAGCCTTTCATTTCTTCATTTTCTAAAAATACAGATAATACTACCTTGTCACAGGGCTGTATACTCTATGTAATGTACCTAGCTCAGGACTGATATGTCACAGGGTCTTAGTAAACATTAATGTGTGTCTTTTTAAAAATTACACATACAAATATGAATCACATCGTCATTTGCTCTGACAACAGATACGCAGGCAAACTTTTTTTGTTGTTTGTTTCACTTTTTGCTAAGGTAGCTCACATGTAAAGTACTAATCTTTTTAATACCAAACATGTGTAGAGCAGCAATCCTTTCAAGACAGTTCTCAAGACTACTGTGCTGCTGGTGATGACTCAAACCCCTCACTATAAGCTCTCCAGAGGAATTCAGACCCAGAAAATACAGCAAATATTTCTCAACATTCATATAATTTAATATCAAATGTAATGTATTTAATATAGAATTACTCACGATCCTCACCCTTGGGAAATGTTCATTAGAGAAATCTCCTCTGTTTCTGGTAGGTTTCTTGTCAAATATAATCTGCTTGCTGCGTAGGATTGATGGGGTTTAACCTCTATAGTTTTTATTTGTATTAAGCTATATCAAGATTGCCAAAGTTTCACTTAGATATATGGATGTCAAACTTGAAAATATAATGTTTTCAGAGACAAAATAAATATCTTATCGAACCATAGTTTAATAAGTATAAATAAGTATCGTTTAATAAATATCTTATTAAACCATAACAGTGTGAAAGTGAAACTGAGGGCTAGCCTGATTACACCTGCCAAGCTTTTGCTTGCTTTTAATCACTTATCTCTGGTTGATTTTAAGACTCCCACTATCAAGCCATGTAGCCAAACAATACATTACACATACAAATATGAATCACATAGTCTAAACTCCCACTAGCTTCCCTGTAGATAACATCTCTGATTGTGGGTCTCTATAGTAACAGGCACTTAAAGTTGTTTTTCAGGAACTAGTAAGCAGCTTAGGGAGATTGAGACCACCCACCCTTCAAGTGGGCCTACATAGGTGTCCAAAGAATGACCCTTTGATGTCAGAGGGCCAAATACTCCACCAACACATCCTATGAAGAACCCTGTAGCTCAGTTAGGCTTGCACAGAAACCCCAATTGCCTCACCTTTCCTACCTGCCAACCATCTTTCCCCACACTTTAGACCACTCCACTTTCTATCCCATAAGTACCGCCAACCCCTATTTTCAAAGAGGTAGGTTTGAGACTTCCTCTGTTATCTCCTTCCATGACAGCTTTGTGAGTAAAATCTCTCCTCTTTCGCAAAACCTGCTGCCACAATGATTGGTTTGCTTCATCCGAGTAACAAAAGAAGAACCTGTACAAGTCCTATAGGTCTTGACAACATGCAAAGAACGAAGGACTAGGCGGACTAATCTAGGTTGATACGATCAACCAACATAAGATACTAAAAATTAAGCTACCTTAATTATGTGACTGCATACCAATCCCACCAATATATAAGACACTGGTTTATTCTTGCTATTATTGTATATTTGTTTAACAATGCTTTAGTGTAATATTCCTTCTAATAATACTTAAAGATTTGTTAAGGTATTACTTATTCCTGATATCAGAAATCGATAGTAATTAAAGGGAAGTATCGCCAGATATGAAGCAGGCAGAAGTAAAATGCAAGAACGCTGAAGAAAAGTCTAGAGATAAAAAACTAGGAATCATAGAAACCAAAAGCAAAACAAAACTAGCAATAGGAATTCTGCACTGGACACAGTGGCTCATGCCAGTAATCCTAGCACTTTGGGAGGCCAAGTAAGCCCAGAGTTTTTTTGTTTGTTTGCTTTTTAATTTTTAATTTTAAAGACGTGGGGTACAATTCAGGGTTAGGTATATAAGTGTTCATTATGCAGGTACCCTTAGTGATGAGGGATAGCAAGACCTTATCTCTACAAAAAAAATTTAAAAATTAACTGGGCATGGTGGTGAGCACCTGTAGCTCCAGCTACTTGGGAGGCTGAGTTGGAAGGATTGCCTGAGCCCAGGAGGTTGATGCTGTGATGAGCTGTGATCCTGCCACTGTACTCGCTGAGTGACAGAGTGAGAATCTGACTAAACAATAAGAACAACAAATTAGAAATAGTTTTTCAATGTACTCAAGGACTTGATCCCCATTCTATATCAAATTAATATGTCTTTTTAAAAAGTGTTGCTTCAAAACATAAAATGAATTGGAACACATGTAATGGTCCTCATCATTATTTTATCTATGTATTACATATGGTGATAATTTATTTTTAATTCCAAGCTTTCTGATTATTACATAAGATGGTATATTTTAATATCAATGTATCATGATGTGGTGCCTAAAAAATGATATTGCATGTTTCTTTAGTTT